CGCTGGAGACGTTGTAGACAGTGCTAGAACCTTGTGTGTCGTTAGTAGAACCGTAGCCCAAGATTTTTGGGCGCAGCGAGGACGTTTTGGTTCTCCTTGTTGACCAAGATGGTGTTCTGTCCTTCGGTCATCTTCCTGTAATAGTACCACCTAGCACTGCTCCTGTGCTGTCGTTGACTGAAGTAACTATGAGCGTTGTAATCACCGTCTCCGAGCTCTCCAGCCCATCGGTGACCCATAGCATCAATGACAAAGTCACCACAGTCGAAGGTCATTATGCGTCTGTCGGCCTTGGTTCTTACCAGCCTTCATACCAAAGTACGTCCCATTGATGTTCGTCCAAGTACTTCGCATAGAGACCCACTGATCGATCTCATTGTCAAATGCACGGTCCAAAGGCAAGCCATCCCAGAAAGCACCCTGGACACTGGCATCATACCAGAACATACTCCATGGATCTGCTGCGTCGGCCTGCTCGCGCTGATATAATGCAGGAATGGGGTCGTTGAATTGGCTGGAAAAGAAGAACATGCCGTTGGCCGTCGAGGAAAACTTGTTCGGACCTGTGTCACCGACAGCGAACAGCTGAGTAAGTCCCCAGCCGTACATGTGGGAGTAACCAGTGAGCTGATAAGCACTGTTAAGCATCCCGTAGTCAGAGCCGGTCGCGGTAATGAGCGCAGAGGTCATTTCGGCATATCCAGTGGTACCAAAGTACCAGTAATCCATGGTTTCACTCCATGTACCGTCATCTGTCGGGCCTGCTGCACAGTTCGCGAGGGCGTTTGGAACGGTGAGGCTAAGGATCTGTGCAGCGGTCCCAGTGGTGTCGTCACCAAGGATAGCGAGAGCAGCTAGCGTAAGACCACCATTGCACACACAGTTCCAGTTTCCGGTAGTGTCGGTTCTCCACCAGCCGATGCTGCCGTTGGTGGATGCCTGAATACCGAAAGACAATCCGTACTCGATCAAGGTAAAACGCATAGATTCCCGCTGATCGGGCGTCCAGACGTCATATAACCAGTCGTACGCGATACCATAACCAGCAGAGAATTCTGCAGTGTCGAGGAAATGGATAGAGTCCCATTTGTCAAAGTCGGGCCCAAAGCTGACGGTGTAGTTACCAGCGACATTCTAATATCTTATATTCAGAAACATAATCATCTGCTTGGCAGTGAAACGCACCTGGATCTCAGTCCAGAGACGATTCACCCATTTGGTGTCATTGGTCATACGGTAAGCATACGAGAAGGCTTTCGCTCTCTGCTTGAATCGACGAGCGGGATCCAAGATACCATTTCCACCATCGTAGACATACTGGATGGGGTCGTCATTGTACCAAGTAGTGGCATTGCCGATGATAGTTTCATTCCAGTAAGAGAGATAAGGGTCGTTCGCAATGTGATCGGACAAAACATCCCACTTGTACTGAGGTGCGATGAGTCTGGGCCTGTCTGGACGAACTGAGGTAACAGCAGGTGTGGCAGCGGAGAAAGTGTCGGTAGGCCAGGTGAGAGAGGCCTTGGCTGAGGAAGCAAAAGTAGGAGATACGAAGACTGCAGTATCCGTCTGGAAAATGATAAGTTGCTCGTAGAACCACTTGAGAAGTAGGAACAACTTACACTTGAGGGAAGATGGGTACCATGTAAAGACTGTTCGTGGCAGCTGCAAACTTTCCAGTTGCAAGCTCCTCGATAGCAGCATTTACGGAGGAAGAAGAAGCTGCAGCTGCAGCTGAAGATTGGGCGGCAGGGGAGCTATTAGTCTTCTTCTTGTTCTCCTTGACCCCAACAACTGCTCCAACGACAACTGCGATAATAACCAGGATAGCGATAGGTATTCCAAACTTTATCCATTTGCTGGTGGACCTTCCTTTTGGCTTTTCATTAAGCGGAGAAATATAACCATGATTTCCGTCGGCTTCCGCGAGATTTTGGGTACTATAATTCTGGTTGTTTGCGCTATGGTAAGACATTCTGTAGACCTAAAAGGTCGGGTATTAAACGAGCGAAGGGCAGAACAGAAGTCTGAAAGGAAAAACAAGGAAGGAAACTGCTGCTAGCCTGGTGGCTGATTGAAACAAGGTGAGGCGTGGAAATGCCAAGCTTCCTCTCCAGATCATCCTTCGTTCGCTGAATGGTCTAAGCTGCCCGAGAGTGTCAAATTATTTAATGAATTGAAACGCGTGCGCGTTACGCACCAGTTTTCGCTTGGCGGCGATTGAAATCGATAATCGGAATGGCATTCAAGGCGTTACTGTATTGAACTAAGTTATAATTTGACCCCAAGCCAGCTTGGTCCGGCACACGGCCCACTATTATCGCAGCTATAAACGAGACTGCAAAATGATTCGGTCAGAACGATATGAAGCCGCTCGGGTTGAGAGACATACCGCGACTGTTTAGTTTTCAATCTGTCATCGTGCCAACAGGAACGGATGGACCCAAAAGTTAGCATCGTTCAGTCTTAATCAGTCAGAAAAACTACACCACAGATCTCCTGCTTCACATCCTGGCCTGCCTAGTCGATGATCTAGAGTCGACTAGAGTCGACTCAATGAAGTTGAGGTTAAGAAGGGCGGACCGAGGGCGGACCGACAGATCCGATTCCCGATACAAATTACAATTTTGAAGACTCTTCATCTTTGCTCTCATCTAGTACTTCGATTCTACGCCTGCACTATGGAGGAATTCGACACATATCAGACACCACTTTCTGCGTATGTAGACATTGTTATGGCAAATGAACGAATATTCAACTACTGACTTACACTAAACGCAGTCGTTATGCAAGTAAAGAAATGGCCCATTTGTTTTCTCCTTCGGTGGGTACACAACAGGTTTTGTATTCCGGATAACTAAAAAATCTTGCATTCCATCTACCTAATCGGTCATTATTTCGCCGACACAGAATCGTTTCTATACGTGGAGAAAACTCTGGTTAAACCTAGCCATTGCAGAGAAGGAACTAGGCCTACCCATTTCTGATGAAGCGATTTCGCAGATGAAGGACAATTTGGCAAGTCAAAAGTCATTGTTTAACCATTGTGATACTAATATATGTCTTTTCTTTTTGCCTGTGTTTTTTCATCTGCTCTTATGAACTCTTACATTCGTTCTTCGTTTGACGCGCTGCTGCGACGCGCCTGGGTTCACGTTTCCAGTATCTAACTCCAGAGCAATTCGATATCGCAGCCAAGGAAGAAAAGAAGCGAAGACATGATGTTATGGCTCATGTATATACGTTTGGAACAGTTGCTCCGGCAGCTGCAGGCATTATCCAGTCAGTCTAGTCCGCCCACCTTCTCCTTGCCTCGCTAAATCCTTTCTGCTTAGCTTGGGTGCTACATCGTGTTATGTTACCGAGTGAGTGCGCTGCACATATCCAACTCGATTGACCTCTAATCGTCATCCGTATCTAGCAACGCCGACCTCATCTTCCTCCGAGACGGACTAGACTACCTCATCCGCTCCCTATACGTCTTGATCTCCCGTCTTTCGTCATTCGCAGCCCAATACCGCGATCTTCCGACCTTGGGTTTCACGCATTTCCAACCAGCCCAGTTGACTACTGTGGGTAAACGTGCTACATTGTGGATTCAGGTAAGGAAAGAATTTTCCGAAAGTCTAAGCCAACGAAATGGAATTATACACTTTAGGAACTTCTCTGGGATCTACGAAACATCAAACGCGCAAGAGAAGATCTTGGATTCCGTGGTGTGAAGGGTACGACTGGCACCCAGGCCAGTTTCCTTGCGTTGTTTGATGCAGATCACGAAAAGGTGAGCTTAACTAAACTTGAAAACCAAAATCTAACTGTTGGTACTCCAACTAGGTTGAAGCCCTCGATGCACTCGTAACCAAACTCTCTGGGTTCGACTACGCCTACCCCGTCACGTCTCAAACATATTCTCGCAAGATCGACGTTGACGTTCTCGCTCCCTTGGCCTCTCTCGGTGCTACTGCACACAAAATCGCTACCGACATTCGTCTTTTAGCCAATCTCAAGGTCAGTCCAGTCCCTTTATCGATGAGGTTACTTCTAGCCTAACGATCCACTCAGGAAATTGAAGAACCATTCGAATCGACTCAAATCGGTTCCTCCGCAATGGCATACAAACGCAACCCAATGCGTTCTGAACGTGTTTGTAGTCTTGCTAGGCATCTCATGGTCTTGCACCAAAATGCATTGATGACCTCGAGCGTGCAGTGGTTTGAAAGAACGTTAGACGACAGGTACGCGCCAACCCACCCCCCTAATATCTCTCCCTACTAACCAACTCAATTTCCAGTGCCAACCGCCGCATCACCCTCCCCGAAGCCTTCCTCACCGCAGACATCATCCTCTCCACCCTCCAAAACATCTCCGAAGGCCTCGTCGTCTACCCCAAAGTCATCGCCAGACGCATTTCCCAAGAACTTCCCTTCATGGCTACAGAAAACATCATCATGGCGATCGTCAAAGCCGGAGGAGACCGCCAAGAGGCGCACGAGAAGATTCGTGTGTTGTCGCATGAAGCGGGGCATCAGGTTAAGCAGTTGGGCTTGGAGAATGATTTGATTGAGAGGGTGAGGAGGGATGTGTATTTTGATTCGATTAAAGGACAGTTGGAGGATTTGTTGGAGCCGAAGAGTTTTGTGGGGAGGGCGCCGGAGCAGGTGGATGCGTTTTTGAAGGATTGGGTTGAGCCGGCGTTGAAGGATGAGAAGGCGCAGGCAGCTATTAAGGGAGCGCAGAAGGTGGAGTTGAGTGTTTGAATGGGTGATTTTTGTATGTGACGCAAAGTGTACCGTAAATGTATCCAAGTCTAGGCCATGGCCAGTTTCTACCGATAGTATGAACGGACGGTGAGACGGGGTATAGGGGCTGAGGTTACGGGATCTCCAGCCCTTTCAATTTCGCGGACGATGGATTGAAAGTGGTCCTTACATTACATTGGTCAAGTCAAGGCATGCACCATCAAAAAGAATCATTACTGCTTTCAGAAAGCATCAGAGAATTTCCGACACGGGGAATCGAACCCCGGGCTATCGCGCTTCAAGCACAGAAAAGTTTATTCATGAGAGGCGATAATGTTAGCCACTACACCATATCGGAATACAATGTAATTACTTACTCCACAAACACTCCAGTAATCTTCGGTTCTCTTGCTGCAATTTTTTTTACCTCATGCGTTACTCCATGTCCATGAAGGGCAGTGAGGAGCCTGACATATTAGTTTTGAAAAAAGCAGCCTGATTGTGTAATGGCTTTTAATAATTTGTTGTCGTGGACTGGCGAATTAGCTAGTGCGTAATATTGGTCAACAAGAAAAAAGAATGCACAATCACTGTCTCTCCATTCCGATATGGGAAATAGAACCCCGGGCTATTGCGCTCTAATCAGCAATTTAATTCATAATGAGAGGCGATAATCGTTAACCATTACTCAATATCGGAGTAACAGAGTTAGTTCTATTATATAATTCATACTCTATACCTCTATGTATTCTGAGTTGTTGGCTACTACAAACTGGCATCTAACAACAACATCACACATATCTTCAATACCCCTCTGTCTTCCTACATTACAATTCACCAAAACCGTGTATGCATCTGTTCGGTCCAACAAGCAAAGTGCATCTTGATAGATGAACACTTGGATGAATTGCACCCAATATTGAAGTAGTATAACTTGTGTTGTAACTTGCGCTCAAAAATTGACTTAGTCTAGCTGACCTCTCTTTAATCCTTTATTTCCAACTCAAGTTCTTGTTCCAACAATATACTATATAACTGATCTTGGACCTAACATAGCCACAGATCTCAGCTGTACATTGGCACCAATCTCAGCTCCATAACCTTTGACTTTACTTGGGCTTTATCCTACTGTATCCCCTGGGGCATATTATGGCATGTCAAGAGTGTTGCCAATAGCTTCACTGAGTCCCATTCACCCCAAGATCCAACTCAGACTCTTTCCAACATCAGCAAAACCTGGGTAATTGTCATAGCAGTTTATAGCACTTCAGAGAAGCCATAGTAGTCATAGAGCTTTACAGCACTACAGTAAGTACTATGTGCTGCTATGAGCTATTATAGGATTATATAGACTGTCAGCATATGTCAAAGTATATTGAACAATGCTGTATACTGTCCAGGACTTATAAAATGAATGGCATTCAACTTGAAGGACTTGAATTTCATCCTCCCTCTTGCCTACTCCCTCCTCAAGTCAGTTCAGCTTGTCTTCAGTGTTGCAACCATCAGCAAAACCTGTATGATGTGGGCAGTGCTTGAGCAAACTGTCCAGAGTTCTCAGCGCTCCAGTGTCCCAGCACTCAGATGGTCCAGCTGATGCAGGAGGGGGCTCCCAGAAGCTCCCAGAGGCCGCAAAATCACCTTATTTGGAAATAAAAAAGAGATGTCATATGATTTTATATTTCTGACAGTGGGAGTGCTGGGAATTTTAAGTATTACTGTGGGAATTAAAATGCAAAATACAGATTTTGCTGATGACCCAGTAAGCTCTTACCTTTGTTTATTGATCCTCAATTCTAATTTATTAGACATACATACAAGTCAAGGGGGTTCAAATTTTCCAAAAAATGACTGGATGTCAATTTTTTTTCTTGCACCTGGTTGGTGGACTACATCAGCAAAACCTGTATTTTCGCTGGAGAAACCCCATTCATTTGGGATATCTCTGGAGCAAGGTACCCTATTCCAGAGACCTCTGGAGATCTCTGAAGAAAATTGACAGTTTTTTTGACAGCTGTCAAGCTCCAGAGATCTCTGGAGACCTCCAGCGAAAATACAGGTTTTGCTGATGTAACTAACTATGTAAGCATTTCCACACTCATATATGGTATATCATGATAAGATTTCATCATGGATGGCTCTTTATAGATACCATTTGGAAAATATACTCTCAGTTTGAGCTTTGTTCTTGAGTATGATTGACATACACAGGCTGTAGCACATCCCCATTAATCCTTCTGAAAAATATGATACTATCACTCATTGTAAGTCCTGCAAAGCAAGCACAAGGGCAGAGGTGTAGCATCACAAAAAGTAAACTTTGCAGATAAGGCCTTGAAAGCTCTTATAATGTACACAAGTAAGATAAACCTCACCCAACTGGCCAACTTTTCACCCAGCCTTGTTTTAAACTTATGGTGCTTGCAAACTTCACCCATATGGTGAACTACACATGGCCGGCGAAGTTGCTAAGGCCTACTAAGGCATTTTGAGAATTTTAACAACATATAATAAAATAATTATCAGTATATGTTTGTTCAATCAGTTCTACAAGTATCGAACAACTAATCATACAATATATATACAGTATCTCGTAAGGGAACCAGTACTTAGTAGCAAGTAAGATTGTACTTAATCAATCACTAAAGAATATGTAGTCGCCGGCAACTACTACTCATACTGTAGGGGGCACACGTGCGGTACCCGAGGACAGGTTTTTGATTGTAGACAGTTCACGAGCGCCCATCCGCGGTTTGGCGCTTATCTTCCAAGTACTAGCACTCTGACTTGATTATCTCTGTAATACAAGCCATTGATGGATATGAGCTGATATAACGGTGTTATTTCTACACAATCAAAGCCATACAAGGCCATGATCCATGATTAGAAAACAAGGGCATTTCAAGACCTTAGGAGGTCTTACAGTGCCTTGTAATTGTAACTTCGATGGGTCATTTTTCACATACTTTTTCTTGCCTTACAATTGATCAAAATATATATGTTCAATTGTCCAGTCTTATCAGGCCTGGTAAACTCTCACGAGATTTGATGAAAGTTCACAAACTAGATAAGGGCTCAACAGGAGCGTTTAGTTTTTGTGATGAGTATGGCTGTAGAGTATACAAGTAAGGCTACATACTTATACTTCAAAGGATGTGAGATCTACTCATTTGTGAAACTTCAAGACTGCCAAAAGTGGTCAAAATAGGTCAAATTTGGGGTATCAAAAATTTTTTGTTTCCTATATATATATGTTGGATTTATTTTTGCCGAGTGCTGTTGCTCGCCACAGCTTCCAATTGGAAATTAGTAATTACTGTATATAAGCCCACCTGTAGTACATTGATCCCCCATCCGTTTGCCTCCCAACTCCCACTACAAGGCTCAAACGGAATATACTGTTTGACACTGCCTTCCCTCGAGTGACGACACACCGTTTATCCAACACAAACGGATCCTGGCTAGTCTAGCGAGCCAGTAAATAGCGCTACAAGGATCTTTGGGTTTAGCCCCTATCCTCACCATCGTCACTCGAGTCATTGTCCATTCTCTCAATTCTATCCAAGTCACCTGGCGAGGTGCAACCGATGATATTCTACCCCCTTGATGAACCCCGATTCCCTTTCCCAGCATCGACAATTGCTGTGGATGTTGCCGAGTCACGATGATGACTCAGACGAACCTTTGCTGAACCGTGCGGTTACGACGAACACCGTACACTTATTGTTGATGCAGATGACCTGTGTGGCTACGAGAACGCTACACAAAATTTATTGCCGATGAAGAAAAGCTGCCACAAGATGATTGATGTAGATCCGCCGACTATGATGAATGTCAAGTTGTTTGTTCCCATTCCCACCGAAGATTTTCCTCCCCACTTTTCACTTTCCGAGGGTGCATTGAGCTTGAGAGGCTCACACGGCACTCGCGAGGGTGTGTTGGATTTATTTTTGCCGAGTGCCGTTGCTCGCCACAGCTTCCAATTGGAAATTAGTAATTACTGTATATAAGCCCACCTGTAGTACATTGATCCCCCATCCATTTGCCTCCCGACTCCCACTACGATGATGAGTTAGATTTGTGCTAGGTATGAAAACCAACCAAACAACAATCACCCCAATCAGATATAATCCAAAAGGTTTAATTTAATGCGAGGAAGGAGGTTGTTGAAGGTTCCCTCGACTACTAATTGATTCGAAGAGAAAAGCACTTGACAGTTGACACAGATAGTGCGCAATGAACAAGGTTTTATATTTGGAGGGAGGTTTTGAAAAGCCGACTAATGTACGACAACGCGCTGAACTAATCGAGGGGAAAGCAAACACCAAAGCACGGGTCAAGTACGCTGACTCAACAAATGACTTTGCGTATCCGCAGTGAAACACCAAAGCACAGGTCAAGTACGCCAACTCAACAAACGACTTTGCGTATCTCGGGAGCCTTTATGTCGCCGCGCAATGATACTCCAACTCTCAGGGATTCCCGCGAGTTACCTAACAAGCTTATACGACCGCCGCGCAAGTCACTCGAGTAGGCATTTTTAACACACTCAGCGAAGAGCGGGCAAGGGGTAGAATCTGTTGGTAAAGCTAGGTAACACTCCGAGAAGCTTCCTCCCTAAAACTAGACCAAGCCGACACTTGGGTCCAAGACCTTTCCTAATCAACAACGGGCTTGTCGAGGTGTGCACGTTAGGCTCCACCTGCGGTCCTAAGACTGATGTGACCTCTCTTCGAGATGAAAACCAGGAATGCTCGACTTAATAGCCGGGAAGTAGAATGAACAGCCTCAGTATTATCGAGGTTACAAGAAGGCCACCTGTTTCAAAGGTTGTAGAGGACAATGCAGACACATCTGAGCATGTACAAATCACTACAGGTCCTAAGATAGAACTGTGTTTCAGGTATCAAGTCTAACTTGTCATTCCGAGATAGAATAGCTACCCTTATATACTGAGCGAGATATATGAAAATAGGAAAATGAGAGAAACTGAGTGAGATAGGATGAAACAGAGTAAGTAAAATAGAAAAAGATAAATAATGTCCATATATGCGTGTATACTATGGTTTTGCCTCGACGTTTTCCTGCCTTGTTTGTTTGTCTTCCTCGATTGGGTCGACTTTTGGGATTTTGGTCTGAATCGACTCAAGTCATTTGCCTTTTTACAAGGCTCGCCAGTTCCTTTAGCAGAACAGCCCTCGGAAGTATTTCTATGTTTTTCCTTGCCAATGGGAGACTGGTTATTATCCCTAGTTCCGCGCGGTCTCGAGTCTAGATGCCTGGTAGCATATGGATCTCGGTAAAACGCTGAGGCTCGGATAGAAACACTTCTTGGTCCTTCCGTGCTCTAGAAGTAGC